TCACACTATCTCAATAACTGCCTCTCACACTGCCTCAATAACGGCCTCTCACACTGCTTCTCACACTGGCAATAACTGCCTCTCACACTCTATCAATAACTGCTCTCACACTGCTCTCACACTGTATCAATAACTGCCTCTCACACTGCCTCTCACACTGCTTAACTCTCTCACTTGCTCTCCTCCTGCACACTGTATCACTGCCTCTCTCACACTGCCTCTCACTAACTGTCTCAATAACTGCCTCTCACACTGCCTCTCACACTGCCTCAATAACTGCTTCTCACACTGCTTCTCACACACTACCTCACTGTATCAATAACTGCCTCTCACACTGCCTCTTCTCAATAACTGCCTCTCACACTGCCTCAATAACCGCCTCTCACACTGCTTCTCACACTACCTCTCGCACTGTCTCAATAACTGCCTCTCACACTGCCTCAATAACCGCCTCTCACACTGCTTCTCACACTACCTCTCACACTGTATCAATAACTGCCTCTCACACTGTCTCTCAGACTGCTTCTCACTCTGGCTCTCACACTGCTTCTCACACTACCTCTCACACTGTATCAATAACTGCCTCTCACACTGCCTCTCACACTGGCTCTCACACTGCTTCTCACACTACCTCTCACACTGTATCAATAACTGCCTCTCACACTGCCTCACACTGTATCAATAACTGCCTCTCACACTGCCTCACACTGTATCAATAACTGCCTCTCACACTGGCTCTCCCATCTTCCTCCTCCCTACTCCTGACATCCCTCCATCCTTCACTCCTCTCCTTTTATCTTTTTCCATCAGTCAATCATTCCTAATTTCAGGGACAACACAATCATAGTAATGTAATCAATGGAAACCTCACAACATAAGAGCTCTGTTCAGAAGTCCTACACATAAAGGTGATGAATGCACTTACAGAGGTCTTGATTCAAGGAACTTCGATCCCAGCCTCTCTCATGACTCCCTTAACAACAGACAGAGAAGGACCAACTTTAATGTGGGTCCCTCATTTCCAGATCATTTAGCCACCATGTGTACATAGGAGACATTTCCACAAAACCAATTCATCATAAAAATTTAAGACTGATTTAAAGTTGGAGGCAGGAATCAATGCAGCAGTGAACTGATTCTTATTTATAGCACAGCACGACATCAATCTACAAGGAAGTATTTGCCCACAATACAAATGTCATAAAGCAGAAATAAAGCATGCTGTGCAAATACCATGCCAATACATTCTGAACTGGTATGGTAATTAAAATGAATATAATATTTCCCAGACCCCTTCTTGCTTGCTAAAATTCAATCATATTTCAAAGTATTGTTCGTGTTAAAGTCTGTATGATAAATCGATTTTAATAAAACTGTAAAATGATGGACCTTTAGGCTAAGTAAACATCTGCTGTCCATCACATCAGTCAAGATCCAACTGATCTCTGCAAAATCTCAACATGTCTTCAGGAAATTCACCTAGCTTCAACATTGACCCTTCTGGAAGACCAACATCTGTTTACCATTCCAAGTTACTTCAATGACTGAGTTTAGTTTTACGCCACATTTAGCAATATTCCAGCAATATCAAGGAATGTGACACCAGAAATGGGCTTCACACATTGTACCCATGTGGGGAATTGAACCCTGGTGTTAAAAAAACCCCGCTTTAACCACTAGGCTACCCCACCGCTCCCAAGTTCTGTCAGCCTGTCATGTCAACTTGGCTTGGCAAGTAAGGTCTGGGTGATTCTTCATGTTTCCAGTTCACTTCCTGTTTCCATTTACCTCAATAATTGTTTAAAAGCCGACCCTTAATGGGAAGCCTTATGAGCTGATTATTGGGGTTCTGATTATTTCCTTTACTCTTCGTTAGAGTGACATTTAACTCTTTCAGACTTACATTATGGAGGAAGCAAGTTTGTTCCCAAATACAGGCTTCTAGGAGGTGTTATAAGGTTCACAGTGTCATACCATAGATGTTATATGGCTCACAGCGTCATGTTGAAGGTGTAATAAGGTTTACAAGCGTCATGAGAGGTGAAATTGGGTTTTACGTCGTGCTTGAGAATATTTCGCTCATATGACGACGTGCATGCGTGTGTATGTGTAGATGCGGCTGCTTGTACTAGCCCAGACTTAAGCTGGTTTTATAGTGCTAGCCCACTGAGATACCATGCCGCAGTGAAGCATGAATACCCCACTCAGACACATTAGACTGACTCCGAGCCGACCAGTCCTTGTTGTACCCATTAATGCCGAGCGCCAGGCATGGACCAACAAGTACCATATTTTAACGTCTTTTGGTATGACACGGTCGGGGATCACACCCGCGACCTTCCGCTCTCCGGGCGGACGCTCTAACCACTACACCACGGAGGCGGTCCTACAACGTCATGTTAGACAGGGGTTGAAAAGTACCATTGCCCGACGCCTGGGTCGAGTGGAATTCTCCGTTCAGTCAAGTAATTAATCCACATTAAACCTTACTACTGAAGTGGTTTGATATAGATATTTTGATGATGATGATTTTCTGTTGTTATTATTTGATAAAGATTATTTGCAAAAGAAAGCAAAATTGTTAAATGTGGTCCAGTGAAATTAATATTTGGTCATGTGGATTTCGAAAGTTTACTGGACCTGTGTCCAGTGGAGTTTTTCAACCCCTGCTAGAGATGTTATAAGGCTTGTAATGTCATGCTAGAGGTGTCATAAGGCTTGTAATGTCATGTTAGAGGTGTTACAAGGTTTACAATGTCATGCTAGAGGTGTCATAAGGCATTTAATGTCATGCTAAACATGTCATAAGGCTTGTAATGTCATGCTAGAGGTGTCAAAAGGCTGGCAATGTCATGCTAGAGGTGTCAAAATGCTGGCAATGTCATGCTAGAGGTGTCAAAATGCTTGAAATGTCATGCTAGAGGTGTCAAAAGGCTGGCAATGTCATGCTAGAGGTGTCATAAGGCTTGTAATGTCATGCTAGTTGTGTTACAAGGTTCACAATGTCATGCTAGAGGTGATCATACGTTATCAGGACTAATTCAATCATATCCAACCTCTACCATCAAGGCTTGGGATGAGAGTGAGCTGGGATTACAGAGTTCCAATTATTTGACAAGGTCAAGATGACCCTACAGTGGTGGAGGTTTGTTTGTGTTTTAATGCTGCACACAGATATTTTCCAGCTATATGACTGAGCTATGTAAATAATCGATTGTCATCAGACAAACCAGTGACTGACATAATGAGCATCGATCTACGCAATTTAGATACAATGACAATTGTCAACGAAGTCGGTGACCCTGGCCACATGATCCCGTTAGAACACCACCGAAGAATCTGTAGCATATATCACCCTGGGCATAACGGGCAAACTGGTGGAGTGAGTGAGTGAGTGAGTGAGTGAGTGAGTGAGTGAGTGAGTGAGTGAGTGTGAGTGAGTGAGTGAGTGAGTGAGTGAGTGAGTGAGTGAGTGAGTGAGTGAGTGAGTGAGTGAGTGAGTGAGTGAGTGACAGGGAAGACTGGGCTCCTGTCTATTGATATTGACTGGTTCCCTGGACATGTGCTTCTGAGTAGTGATATCCAAGTTGACACGATAAGACACACTGTCATAATCGTATGAGCGATATGTGTATTTTACTTTGAACAAATTTAATTATCAATCTTTGAGACAAAAAAATGTTGCTGTTGCTCAAAATAGAATTCTGAGTAATTGGCATACCCATGATACTGATCTCTGAAATAACAGCAAAGTTTGAGTGAGTGAGTGAGTGAGTGAGTGAGTGGAGTGGAGTGGAGTGGAGTGGAGTGAGTGGAATGAGTGAGTGAGTGAGTGAGTGAGTGAGTGAGTGAGTGAGTGAGTGAGTGAGTGAGTGAGTGAGTGAGTGAGTGAGTGAGTGAGTGAGTGAGTGAGCGGAAATAGCGAGCGAGCAAGCATGGTTTTACACCACTTTTCACAATATTCCAGCAATATCACAGCGGGGCACCCCAGAAATGGGCTTTACACATTGTACCCATGTGGGGAATCGAACCTAGGTCTTTGGCGTGATGAGCGAATGCTTTAACCACTAGACTTCCCCATCACCCCAGGTGGTGTTGGAGAGGATCAGCATGTAGCCGGCACAACTTATACAAATGTATAAACAGTAAGTGTTTGTTCCTTGCTTGATGGCACACAGTTGTAATCCAGTCTCACAATAACTGCCTGCAGACAAGTGAGTCATTAACTGAACAGATCTCCAGAGACACCAAGGTCGTCTATTACCAGATAATGCCATTGTTTCCTGGCGGTTATACACACAGGATTGTAACAAAGTCACATAAATAATTGGAAACACGTATCTGGATCTTGTTTTAGTGGTAGTAGTGTTAATCATTCAAGGTCGTAACAAATCCATGACTTCAGATGATGTGATGAGCTCTCAGTTGCTGTTCAATGTTAGCTTGGTTTTAAAGTTAGATTAAACGAGAAGTGAAGGATGTTGAGTGTCGCAGTCAGCAATATTCCAGCTTTATCACTGCAGCCTGTAAATATTGGAATTTGGGCTTTACAAACCTGGGGTTGATATTATGAGCATTTTCTTGTGCCATCAATCGACAAGACACATAACCCATGAAGATCTGGGTTAGAATTGATCTTCAATAACCCATGCTTGTCGTAAGAGGCGACAAACAGGATTTCGTGGTCAGGCTTGCTCATTTGGTTGTCACATGTCATCGTGTTCTACTTGTGAAGATCGATGCTCATGCTGTTGATCACTGGATTGTCTGGTCCAGACTCGATTATTTACAGACAGCCGCCAGATAACTGGAATGTTGCCTATCGCGGCATAAAATTAAACTCACTCACTCACTTGCAAGACACATCACCAACAACATAATTGATTCTAGGCCCCTATGTCAGTAAGTTGGCTTTTGTGACAAGCAATACAGTGTTGTGGTCAGTCCTATTCTCAGCCAGAATCTGATGAAATCATCAATGAGGTGTGTGCAGACATTACCTGTAGCGAGGCGTGGAAGGCACGGGACATCAGCTTCACCTCCACCGACTCCACGTGGACAAATATCCCGTCTATCACCCGGTCCACAAACCCGTACTTCCCGCCAGACCTGCCGAAACACATCACAGATACACAACTGTGTGGGGTACCGGAACTGGGCTACACGTTCAATAGATGTACCCAACTATCCGGGTACGGAACTGGGCTACACGTTCAGTAGATGTTCCCAACTATCTGGGGTACGGAACTGGGCTACACGTTCAGTAGATGTACCCAACTATCTGGGGTACGGAACTGGGCTACACGTTCAGTAGATGTTCCCAACTATCAGAATGCGGGAACTGGGCTACACGTTCAGTAGATGTTCCCAACTATCTGGGGTACGGATCTGGGCTACACGTCAGTAGGAACTGGGAACTGGGCTACACGTTCAGTAGATGTACCCAACTATCTGGGGTACGGGAACTGGGCTACACGTTCAGTAGATGTTCCCAACTATCTGGGGTACGGGAACTGGGCTACACGTTCAGTAGATGTACCCAACTATCTGGGGTACCGGAACTGGGCTACACGTTCAGTAGATGTACCCAACTATCTGGGGTACGGGAACTGGGCTACACGTTCAGTAGATGTTCCCAACTATCTGGGGTACGGGAACTGGGCTACACGTTCAGTAGATGTACCCAACTATCTGGGGTACGGGAACTGGGCTACACGTTCAGTAGATGTACCCAACTATCCGGGGTACGGGAACTGGGCTACACGTTCAGTAGATGTACCCAACTATCTGGAGTACATTATTTGTAGGGGTACACAACAATCTGGGGTACATGATTTGTAGGGGTACCTGACAATCTGGGGTACGCGACTGGTAGGTGTACATCATCATCTGGGGTACATGGTTTGTAAGGGTGGACAACCAAATGTTGAAGACATTCTTACATAATCCAATCCATAAACGATGATAACTATCTATGAAATAGAGAATACAAGAAGACAAAGTCATCAATATCCCCCACAATGGCAACAAACTCTTCATGAAAATGTCTACGAGTTATGATTATGTCAAATATTTAGGTGTGTATATAGAAAAGTGGAAGGAGAGTATTGAAAGGTTTTTAAAGTTCTGCTCCAGAAAGGAGCAATATCACCAATTTCAGTCTAAGTCAAACTTGTTGCCATGGAAATGCCAAAAATATTTTATTCAGAATTCCAAAACTACCAAAAGGCACCAGTACACCACCAGATCTATGTGCCAAGTTTGGTGAAGAAATATTGAAGGGTTTTAGTGTTCTGCTCTGGAAAAGACAAATATGTACGGACGGACAGACGGAAGCACGCACACACGGACGGAGTCCATTTTAATACCCCCCGCAAAACGTGTTGTGGGGGATAATTAATCGTCAGAAGGAACAATGTTGATCTGACCACACATCTTTGAACACAACAACTCACCTGTAGCTAGCCATGTGGGCGGGGTTATTAGGTGGGCGTGGCGTCTCACATGTCTCTGCCTCTAACTGAACCTTATCCAGCATCTGAAGAAAGCAAGAAAGCGAGTGAGTGAGAGTGGAGTGAGTGAGTGAGTGAGTGAGTGGGTGGGTGAGTGGGTGGGTTTTGGGTGAGTGAGTGAGTGAGTGAGTTTAGTTTTACTCCGCTCTCACCAATATCCCAGCCATATGGCGGCGGTCTGTAAATAATTGAGTTGGGACCAGACAATCCAGTGATCAACAGCATGAGAATCGATCTGCGCAATTGGGAACCCATGAAATGTGTCCACCAAGTCAGCGAGCCTGACCACCCGATCCCGTTAGTTGCCTCTTATGACAAGCATAGTCGCCTTTTGTGGCAAGCATGGGTTGCTGAAGACCTTATTCTATCCTGGATCTTCACGGGTCAGCGGGTTTAACATCAGTCTGAACATCATGTCTGAACATGTCTGACATCATGTCTGGGTTGAACATCAGTCTGAACATCATGTCTGAACATCTTGTCTGAACATCATGTCTGAACATCAGTGTCTGAACATCAGTCTCAACATCATGTCTGAACATCAACATCATGTCTGAACATCATGTCTGAACATCAGTCTGAACATGTCTGAACATCAGTCTGAACATCATGTCTGAACATCATGTCTGAACATGTCTGAACATCATGTCTGAACATCATGTCTGAACATCAGTCTGAACATCATGTCTGAACATCATGTCTGAACATCATGTCTGAACATCATGTCTGAACATGTCTGAACATCATGTCTGAACATCAGTCTGAACATCATGTCTGAACATCAGTCTGAACATCATGTCTGAACATCAGTCTGAACATCATGTCTGAACATCATGTCTGAACATCAGTCTGAACATCATCATGGTGTGTCAGCTACAAGTGGAGGATAGTCATTGATGTTTGCTACTTTGATAAGTGTCAAGATTTTTGTCATGACCCAAACTTGGCATGTTGTTATGATTAACCTTGATATCTACATGGGATTTGTACTTCCATCAAACGACAGATTCTGTTAACTAATCACATTTGTTTTATGTTCATTGTAGACCAGTAAGAGTGAGTGAGTGAGTTTAGTTTTATGCCGCTTTTAGCCATATTCCAGCAATATCACGGCGGGGTACAGCAGAAATTGGCTTCACACATTGTGCCCACGTAGTGAACCCCTCTTTGGCATGACAAGCCAAAGCCTTAACCTGACTAGGCTACCCCATCGCCCCGAAGACCAGAAAGAATCTGCAACCAGTATCAGATACTTACCAAATATATGGGCTGTGATTTTAACTTTGTCCATTGTATCTGCAACAGAGGATACACAACAGCTGAATTGACTGACACAAACACTGATCCGAACTTTCTTTGAAATACTGATTAGTTACTGCTTTAATAATATTTTGTTTGCGAGGTGAAATTGGGTTTTACGTCGTGCTTGAGAATATTTCGCTCATATGACAACGTGCAGGCGTGTGTATGTGTATGTGTGGCTGCTTGTACTAGCCCAGACTTAAGCTGGTTTTATAGTGCTAGCCCACTGAGATATCATGCCGCAGTGAAGCATGAATACCCAACATTATACTGACTCCGAGCCGACCAATCCTTGTTGTACCCATTAATGCCGAGCGCCAAGCAGGGACCAACAAGTACCATATTTTAACGTCTTTTGGTATGACGCGGTCGGGGATCAAACCCGTGACCTTCCGCTCTCCAGGCGGACGCTCTAACCACTACACCACGGAGGCGGTCTATTTTGTTTGTTGTTTAACACAACACACAGCAATATTTCAGCTATATGGCAGCAATGTGTACATCTGGCGGAGTATAGACCAGACAATCCAATGATTGATGTCATGAACGTCAATCTATGCAATTGGGAAATTGATGATAAGTGTCAAGCAAGTCAACAATCCTGACAACCCGATCCCGTTAGTCGCCTCTTAGTCGCCTCTTACAGCATATTTTCCTTTGGGTATGCCGTGTAAACTGTTGATTGATATTTCAGGAGTATAATTGTAGTCTGTAAGTAATAAAGAAAGTCTAGTGATTAACATCATGAGCATCGATCTAAACACCAAGTGAAACTAACAAGAAATGAATATTTGATGGGGATGAACATGATACCGGTATAAAACTTATGTTTTGGACCTTAAGATTGCTGTGTATCGATGGGTGAGTGGGTGGATGGACGAGTGAGTGAGTGAGTGAGTGAGTGAGTGAGTGAGAGTGAGTGAGTGAGTGAGTGAGTGAGTGAGTGAGTGAGTGAGTGAGTGAGTGAGTGAGTGAGTGAGTGAGTGGAGGAGTGAGTGAGTGAGTGAGTGAGCGAACAAAGGTTGAATATGGTTTTGCACTGCTTTTAGCAATATTCCAGCAATATCATGGCAGCGGACCCAAGAAATCAGGACTTCACACATTGCATCTATGGAATTGAACCACTAGGCTACCAAACAGCCTGACAGCCATCTGGAGCGCTGGCTCCCAATTCTATGACAGTGAGTGGGTGAGTATGGTTTTACGCAACTTTTAGCAATATTCCAGCAATATCACAGCAGGGGACACCAAAAATAGGCTTCCCACATTGTACCCATGTGGGGAATCGAACCCAGGTCTTCAGCGTGACGAGCGAGCGCTTTAACCACTAGGCTACCCCACCGCCCCTAAGGCTATGACTAGTAGTCTATGGTGAAGAGAATGAGTTAAGATAGTCACAGCACTATGATTGCTTTGTGAAACAGGATCCTGGACTGACATACAAATTAATTCTTCTTATCTCACTAAAGGTAAGGATAACATATGTTGCAGGATGATTCATTGGGCATGTTAGCATCACCTGATTGTAATCACACAGTTCCCGGCTAGTACTGGTACAATTGCCAGCTTCTGCAACTTTATCCTATGAGATGCAGCTGACGCTAGCTTGAACTGATTCACTGATACACAGGTGAACCCTGATATCATAGCCAGTGTCACCATAGACATTTACCAGGGTCTGAGTGAGTGAGTGAGTGAGTGAGTGAGTGAGTGAGTGTGAGTGAGAGTGAGTGAGTGAGTGAGAAGTGAGTGAGTGAGTGAGTGAGTGAGTGAGTGAGTGAGTGAGTGAGTGAGTGAGTGAGTGAGTGAGTGAGTGAGTGAGTGAGTGAGTGAGTGTCTTCAACTATGGACATATCAACATATGCCTGATTGTCCGATTTAACAGGATCAGTCTGTCATACAGACCCTGAAACAAATATACCCAATACAGCAAGTCTAGAATATGTAGCAAGTCTAGATTACCGCAGTTTCAGGAAAAAGAACAAAGACCCTGATCTTCTGTTTATTATATTTTACGGAGAGGAGACAGATAGGAGCAAGATAGGGATGCTGTTGTCCATGTATTTGAGTGAGTGAGTAAATGTTGCTATACTGAACAGTAACACAATCTTTGCCTGCAGTGCACTCCTTCAGGCAAGAAGAAACAAGACATCAACAGTTTCAGGTGCAAGCAGAACAAAGTGAGTTTCCCCGTGAAGGACGACTCTACCGGCCCCTGCTGACGTGAACTAAAGGAGGCGTGGCTACAAGCTGACCTTGATGGACACCCTGTTGCACGATGCCCGCGAGATCTTGAGCCATGTGGGGAGGTCCAGCAGCTCGGTGATGATGTCCTCATCCAGCTCCAAGTTACACAGCTCACCTTCACCCTTCAGCGTGCTCAGGCTGATCTTGTCTGTTGACAGGTTCTTACAGAATCTGAAACAAGTCCAAACTTGAGTGAGTGATGTCTAAAGCCCCTTATTATTTACTGAGTGCATGTAATCCCAAATATAACATGTTGCATTTGACCACTTTCTAAATGGCATTGTGTATTCATAATATGAGACTGCCTGAAACCCTAAATGGGCTTCAAGCATTGTACCCATGTAGGATAAATCACAACCCATGTGGGATAAATCACAACCCGTGTGGGATAAATCACAACCCATGTGGGATAAGGTTGTGGGATAAATCACAACCCATGTGGGATAAGGTTGTGGGATAAATCACAACCCATGTGGGATAAATCACAACCTGTGTGGGATAAATCACAACCCATGTGGGATAAGGTTGTGGGATAAATCACAACCCATGTGGGATAAGGTTGTGGGATAAATCACAACCTGTGTGGGATAAATCACAACCCATGTGAGATAAGGTTGTGGGATAAATTGTGGGATAAATCACAACCCATGTGGGATAAATCAACCTGTGTGGGATAAATCACCCATGTGGGATAAGGTTGTGGGATAAATCACAACCCATGTGGGATAAGGTTGTGGGATAAATCACAACCCATGTGGGATAAGGTTGTGGGATAAATCACAACCCATGTGGGATAAATCACAACCCATGTGGGTGGGATAAATCATGTGAGATAAATCACAACCCATGTGGGATAAATCACAACCTGTGGGATAAATCACTTATGTGGATAAATCACAAACCCATGTGGGATAAATCACAACCCATGTGGGATAAAACCCATGTGAGATAAATCACAACCCGCGGTGGGATAAATCACAACTATTTATATGGGATAATCACAACCCATATGGGATAAATCACAACCGTGTGGGATAAATCACAACTCATATGGGATAAATCACAACCCATGTGGGATAAATCACAACCTGTGTGGGATAATCACAACCCATATGGGATAAATCACAACCCCGTGTGCGAGAAATCTGTGATTGAAAAACAGTTTAAAGTATTTTAAAATATTACGTTGAAATAAGTGCAAGAACATACATGTATCTGAAATCAACCTTGTCCATTTCAAATTTTGTTGGTCTCTTGTCCAAGAACTCCTGTAGCTAATGGTAACACAAGAATTTGAATTGGTCTGGCCAACTGATATTACCATGATTATGCACCTATTAAACTGGACAGTATTGTTCAGAAGTGACTGCATACAGGCGAATGAAGGGAGGCACACATCTCACACAAATCATCGTCACAGCTCAGTAACAGCAAACAATAAATTAGTCATAAAATAAACAACTGATTACATGTCAGTGTTAGAGATGAGATCCTACTCAGGGTACTGATCTTTGGTAATGGCAAGTTAACAGGCTTCTTGTCCAATGAAAACATTTCACTGGCCATGGACAGACTCAAGATAACAGGTTGGTGAACCTGCAGTAATTCTACCCTCATGAGATGGAAAGTTCTGCTGGAAGTCTGGGAAGGTAGAGAATGAAGTTAGGCCAAGGTAACACATACATATTGCCAGTGACTCCGTGGTTAACATTTTGGTTGCATTTGTCTCCATACACTAAATGTTTTTAGCCATACTCACGTTTAGCAATATTCTGGCAATAAGCATTACACACACACCCCCACCCCACCCCCTCCGTTAGAAATACATACAATACATAATAACCAGCAGAGTCCCCTTCCCCAGGGTCATTGAGGCGAGAGTGAACATGGAAGTAGGTCATTGTAAGTGGCGATATCTGTCGATTGCACCCGTGAAGCTCCGGGTTAGAATTGGTGTTCAGTAACCCATGCTTGTCTTAGGAGGGGACGAACGGGATTGGATGGTAAGGCTCACTGACTTGGCTGACTCATGTCATTGTATCCCATTTGCAATTGTGATGTTGATCACTAGATTGTCTTGTCCAGACTTGATTATTTACATACAGCCGCCATATGGCTGGAATATTGCAGACTGCGGCGTTAAACAACAAACCAACCAACCCAACCTGTTGATTGACCACTGCTTTGTGTGGTGTTTAACCTCTTCCTAATTACAGTGTTCACGAATGGTGTTTCAAAGTACCAGGACATTGGGTCCTGTAAGTTTCAGATGTCTGTCTGACCCATTTGAAAATTCACAGGACCCATAGAATAAATTAAAACACATTTCAGATTTAACATTTCTTATAATTGGCATTGAAATTATTAACAAACATAAGATTTATAAACAGCAAACAAGTGTCACATGTCACATATAACAACTTCAGTCAAAGTCATTGTGAAATATACAGTCAGACACTGGGGCCGGCGGGTTGAACACTTCTATCGGACTGTTGGCAAATCAGCCGGATTTGTCAGAGGGTCTGACGCTATTCGTGAACACTGTAATTAGCACAACCTACCCCCTTCCCTCAACTTCTAATCCCATTCCCATGCACCCCTTCTGGATTGTTATTAAATACGTCAAATACAGGATCAGAGGATTCCCACCTCATCCCACCAGGTACCCATTCACTGCAGGGTGAACAAAGCATCCTTCAAACAAAGTCTCTCATGTAAAGAAACGCCACATGTGCCACACAGTGTCTGGGCTGCCTTAAAATCTCTTAGGAGTCCAGCTGCCAAACATCCACCCCAATACTCTCTTTGACCAACATTGTTACCATTTGTAGACTGGGATTGCACACAAGACCACATGGCACATGTTAGAAAGCTGGATGTACATAAACAAGAGCGACAAGAGGCAATTTCAGCTGATCTTGCTATTTTCAGGTCATTGAAACAATAATGATGCTATTCATTAGTACTTAGCTTTCGATTCAGGTGAGGGTGAGGTGAAATTGGGTTTAACGTCGCGCTGGAGAATATTTCGCTCATATGACGACGTGCATGCGTGTGTATGTGTATGTGTGGCTGCTTGTACTAGCCCAGACTTAAGCTGGTTTTATAGTGCTAGCCCACTGAGATACCATGCCGCAGTGAAGCATAAATACCCCACTCAGACACATTATACTGACTCCGAGCCGACCAGTCCTTGTTGTGCCCATTAATGCCGAGAGCCAGGCAGGGACCAACAAGTACCATATTTTAACGTCTTTTCGATTCAGACTGTGACAATAGCTGATAGTTCAACACAAATTATGTGTAAGTATTGGTTAATTATCTCTGTCAGATTGCTGCATTGACCATGCCAGCTGTTACTATATTGTAGCTGCAACACTGCTGGCCTTCAATCTATATTTACTCACTCACTCTATGACAATACCTTAACAATGTCAATGATGGACTGAAGTTGAGTATCTGTATGTTCACTGTGTAGACACTACGTATACTCATGTGACCAGTCACGTGACTGTGTCATGTGACTGTGTAGCAACAGGGGTCGCCACCTTCAGTCTGTTTCAAATATATTATGTAATTGTTATTTGAAACTTAAATAAATTTTTGTAAAATATATATATATATATATTTTGTGTTATGACTCATCACAAATGAGGTAGGTTTCACTAAAACATACACAGCCTATTTTCAACGCCTAAAGGCGCTATGACTGTCATAGTGAGTAAGTGAATATTAGTTTTACGCCGCTTTTAGCAACATTTCATCAATATCATGGCAAGGGACACTAAAATAGGCTTCACATATTGTACCCATGTAGGGAATCGCACCTGGGTCTTCGGTGTGATGACTATTAGGCTACCCCACTGAGTGAGTGAGTGCGTGAGAGTATGGTTTTACACCGCTTTTGGGCTTTAATGGGTACACATTGTACCCATGTGGGGAATTGAAACCCGGGTCTTCAGCATGACGAGCGAACGCTTTAACCATTAGGCTGCCCCACCGCCCCCACATAAACCCTCAAGCAGCATACTTGGCTAACAGTAGTACAATACTGTAATCAACACCAAAACTCTCGTATAGAAGAACATCAATCAGTCTTAAGCCAGGGGCCACCATCACCAATAGTACTAAGACGCTATATTGTCTGTGAGGACTGTCTTCAGCACTATTCCCTGGGGTCGAACCATCCATTTCTGACCCGTCCAATGAGATCTTAAAAGATGGATGCTTTCATCTGTTGTACTATGGATGTAAGTACACACTGTTGTGTATACTTTGTGAGACAATTAAAACACTCTTTTGTTACCTATGTTGTTCTTATATCACACTGAATCAGCCTGTTAATTCACTAGTATACTTCCTTTAAAGATCTGAGTAGGAATTCGTCTTCACAAACACATGAATGATGTTAGGGGTGACAAAGAGGATTCCATCCTTGATGCATGCACTGCATGCCCACTGTGTCAGGGGTGGAAATAACTTTAAAATTGCTAGTGTACTCCGGTACAGTGGCACATGTAAAATCACTTGCCCTGATAATTATTCCACTATACCGGCCGTTTTGTTGTTGATTTTTAAATAAACAACATAATTAACATTGGAATATCAACTGGACACCGGTACAGTGTGATATACAAATTTGCTTGCCCGACAGAAAAAAACACTAGACTCAGGCGTCGGGCAATGGGTTATTTCCATCCCTGTGTGTAGATAGCTGATAACGACAGATGCCATGATACATCGATGCATCGATACTTTTTGTAAGACAATACAATTATCGATACATTCAAAACTGTATGGATATTTAGTTTTGAAAGTATCGGTTTAAATATATTTATGTATCGTTTACATTTTGCAATTGTATACGTTTTTTGATGTTATGAGAGTCATAAATGACTATTTTTCATGCACAAAGATGGGAAATTAGAACTTTTTAATCTCTGAGAATAAAAAATGTTGATATTTTCATGGACAATTATAACATATGAAATATTAATGTTCAAAATATAACTAAATTTACGCTATAATGCCACGAAAATAGGTATCGTGATACATATCCAATCGTGACATGGACATCATGATACGTATCAATTCATAAAACTTCAGTATCGTGACATCCCTACTCATAATGTCAATCACTGGATTTCTTGATCCGGGCTGGAATCCTTACA